TACATCCAATCTTTGGCACACTTCCAATACATTTGATTATTCTTTCAGTAACGTCGATTGTACGAACAAATGACATTATTTCTTGAGGGATTTACATTTGATAGAATTTGTTCCATTCTTATAATGGAATAGCCTTTCTGATATTGAGCACGGCCAGAACTGATTAGGAAAATCAGAACACACACACACACACACACACATCTATGCACTCATAAACAGAGGTGAATGTCTGTGTTCATTTCAAAATGCAGGGTTGAGTCACGTGATTGTGTTTTCGTTACGGACATACATTTGAACTGAATTTTTTCTAAATTCGCCAACTTTCTTATCAATTTTCTGATCCAAAAATCAAAGAAAAAGTTGAAAACAATGTAATCGAAAAAACTCTCCTCATTTCTGAAATTTTCCGAGCATTTTTGTACATTTTATTTTTTAGTGATGAATTTTACGAGTCTCCATACAACTATTCATGGCCTTATGAGAATTTTTTTAAATATATAAATCAAGAAGTTCTTCAAAACGAATTGTGTTTAATCATATCAATCTTTTGTAATTTCAAGTATATGCTGAACGTTTAGATTGGTTTGTTTCGAAAAGACCCCATTAGTCTGAAGTTTAAAAAATCATCGATCATGATTCATGTATATGAAAAATAAAAATGGGCTCCAACACATATATATACCTGGGTCGATGTATATGTGGACACACCTATGTACGAATGTATATATGTATGTATATATTGTGTGGGTGTGTGTATGTATGTACATATGTCTGTGCGTGTGTGTGGATGTATGTGCATACAGGTATATATGTTTATACAAAGAGATATAGATGAAACAAACAAGCAAAGAGACATACAGACTCTCTTCAAATGTCAAGCCAGAACAAGCGCTTAAGTCAGAGTAATTAATGTGATTTACGGCAACCAAATTGTCTTCAGAGATCGCAAGAACACTCTTCTAACACATAGTTTTTATCTTTCTTCTTTTTACTTAAACTGGTGATACCAAAGAAAGCTAAACTTTTCTCCGGGAAAACTCGTCTTTCATTAAAAATTTTCCACTTTTTCTCGTCATCTTCACTATTGTTTTGGATACTATTAATTATCTTACATACACACACACATACTCTCACACACACATATGCACACACACACATATATGTGTGTGTGTATAATTACTATAAATTATAATATTGTATGTGTACATATACTTGTATTTGCATGTATATGGTTGTGTGTATGTGCGTGTATCTGTGTGTGTGCCTGCGTGCCTGGTTGCCTCAGTATGTGTTCTTTGAGTACGCTTGTCTGATGCGCATGTGAGGCATTATCCAATCTCATCAAATTTGTTGAATAACACCTTGTATATATATATGTGTGTGTTTGTATACCAGGACCGTTGGCAAGGAGATCCCGGTTCCCCAGAAAATGTTTTACCCATGAAAATAATATAAATTAATTTTAATGTGTTAATTCTTACAACATAAAACATCATATGTATTGATCAAAAAACATCTTTTATTTGAAATCATAAAAAAGGATATTGTTCTTTTTTATTTATGACTTTTTCTAATCTGTGAATTAGTTACTGTTATTTCAAACTGAGCGAGGTCACATAAATGCATTAGCATAAAACACTTTTTACTTGCAACCCTCTGACTCCACTTAGAACACTGGTGATGGGCCTAATATATACATATGTCTGTATGTGTCATTATTCGTATGCAAGTGTGTGGGTATGTGTATATCTGCGCAAATATGAATAATAATTTCAAACAAATCAACACCGACATTTTTTAATCATTTCACGCTACACAGTCGATAAAAGCTACTAAGATGCAAGACGTTACAGGGTTCAAGGTGGAAAAAGATGATGACTGTCAATGCATTTAAACTGATTATCATAACGGGAAAGCAGTAAACCGGAAAATAATTTCAATAACGAGAAATACGGGAGAAGGAACTATTAGCATAGAATTTAGGGTTACATCTAGAAATTTCAACAGTGAAATTATGGGACCTAACTGTCAAATGTATTTAAAATCGGTAAAGCTCATGAAGACAATGGACTGTAAAAATATTTATGGAAACGGCACACAAAAGCTACGATACGGCGATGAGAAAGTAATTGAATCCGAGATGCCAGGTTAGGACAGTTAACATTACAGATTATTCTTTTTTTTTTGTCATGAATCTCTAGATATATAACAGAAACATCATACTGGATATCATCATGTAATGCAAACTACTGTTTGTTTTTTTTTAAAACGTTACAGACAACAAATATGTTTTTAATCACTTCTCCCCAACATGCCGTATGATGAGTAGAAGAAAACCTGTTTTTACATATCAAACTACGAGTCTCGGGTTGAACTGATATGATATTTTCTCTTAAATAAATATCCTATTGACGGTCTGAAAGCAGTTGTATGCAACGTGACCTGAAATCTTCGTTTCTTCCACATACATAGGATAACAAAGTGGGAAGATATATCGGGAATTGCTAACCAGAATTATAGTCTAACTACATTTATTTCCCATTAAAATAAAACGAAAGAAACTTTCTAAATTGAAGCCGAGAACTTCCTGGCAACGGCTTTTATATCTCAGGCGGATAGAAAATTCAGTTAGTCATTCATTACTTGACGTGGCTTCAACATGACATATTAATAATCTCCGAATAGTCGTATTAAGGTCTATTGATTTGTTCCGAAGAGATTCGCCACAAATTGGAACGCAATACAATCTTCATCATTTCTAAAACCATCAAAATTGGCTATTTCTGTATGAACCCATTTCGATCTTGATCGGCCGACTCCACACGCCGTTGTTATGATAAAGACGAGATGCTGGCAAGAAAGAAAAGCGGCGTAAAAGAAACGGCCATCATTATAGTCAGAGAGAGTTCAATATTACTGTAGTTCCAAGTGCACACTACTAACATCTCATAAGTGGTTCATTTAAGTGTCAGATCTACGGCTGCAAATAAACAGGCCGACAAGAAACAACTTGTGAAGGAGACGCTTTGATTTGATAACGCTAATCTATTGATGAATGACGTAGTCCAAGTTGGAAGCAGCTCATGAAATTGAAATTAACTTTGCAATAACTTTTCAACTGAACTGCTGCCAACCTTTACATAACTTCAAGCGCAATTATCGGATGTAATCGTAAAAGCTTCTATTCCAGAGACCATCACTAGTTGGAAAATATTCCATTTGATTACATATCAATTCTTTCATAGGGATCAATTCACAGCTAAAAATATTTGTTCAGTATTTGACGCTGACAAAATTGGAGTATATGTTTCTGAAAGTATATAAATTAGTTATTTTACTGTTTATATCATGTCACGAATGTTTAATAAAATGAATCCGTTTCTTGCGATCGGGCATTTCACACCAAATAATTTATCTGATTCGCTTGATATTCAATAAGAATTCGGAATACAGCTCCATTTTTTATCTTAATAAAATGAAAATAATTGCCACTCAATGTGTACCCAACAAGCAGTTTTCAATCTGATTTTTGAAAGGTCACAATTACCAGGAAATATTCATTCAATTTCAGTCCAAATTTAATGCTTATCTTTCGGCATCTTTTCATGTTTCGATCACTTCCGATGTTTTCATAGAAAAGAGATCAATTCGTATTTGATTTCTGTAAATGAAAAAACATAGCCATAACTTTAAAACTATCTGATCGTCTCTTTCCTTTTTCTGTTTTTACGTGAGTGAAATACAATTGCCATTTTCATTGCTTCACCAATTTTACACGCAAAAATTCATTTTCATAAAATAATTACATTAACTGAATAGTTGCAATTACCATGGCAACCAATCATAAGATGTTTTATTAAGTTATGCAAAATTATTCATATATTTAATGTTTAAGGGAAAATTTAACAAAAAAAAAGAGAAAAAAAAGAAGTTTACTTTTGAAATGAATTTCTAAACTTCCGGTTCTTTTATACTGATGGACATTTGTCCTTCGAGTCTTATAAATTATAAGAGAAGTGAACAATATTTTCAAAGAAACGAAATCGAGACTCGTCAAATGTAAGCTGTATTGTTTTACTAAAAATTTCGAAAATTTTTATTGATATTATTTTGTTAGAAAACGCACACATACACATAAAATAAAGCTAAAAGGAAAATGTACATTTGTTTATTTATTTTTAACCCCAATAAATTTGAAATTGACTTTGAAGTGCCTCTCTCAGTCAGTGAAGGTTCTATGGGGTGAGGTTGTCTTTATTGACTGATGTCTTCATATAGCGTGTTAGAAATCCGTTTAAACGGAACGTCCCGCCAAATATTTACTAGGTTATATTGTTATCCAAATTAATGCAATGATTGTTTTTGTTAGCAATGTTGTAAGCAAAAATGTTATCTATATCATTGTTTTAAATAAGTCACCGATTCTATACATTGATTTCTTTTTTCTATATAAATAGACGCATGACCGAATAAAAACATATGTGAAGACATTTAAACAGAATGCTTCATATTCATGCAATTCAATGAATGGTTTTATGCCAATTAAAATGTTTATTTGGAGAACCTCTGAAGAATTTTCGCTAACGAACACAATCCATTCTAATAGATCTTCTAATGCTTAAGAAATAGCGTCTTTCACAGTAAAATACATGCACCTGTTGTAGAGTGATATATAATAGTCTTATCTGGACGACCATTTTTTGTAATGAGTGTGAAAGCTTAACAATGTGAATGAACTGTAAATGAAAATATTTCACTAATTATTTCGTTTTTCTCTTCACACATACATTTTTCGTAATCGTAAAGAATTTAAATATTTTTATGTTTTAGCTATAGTTATTACAAACAATTTTTCACGCGTATTTTTCTTTCTTTTTTTACAGGTTGCTGATTGAGCATAAATTCTAGCATTTCAGTTGACTATGCGAAAATAATGCGACAATTTCAGATGTGTATTATTTGGATCTGCCGCACTCATCGGAGACAGATGCGCGTGCTTACGGCCGCATCCCGTTGTAAAACCGGTTCCCGTACGATTACCGAAGTTAAGCAATGTCGATCTTGGTCAAAACCTAGATGGGGGACCGTTTGGGAATACCAGGTGCTGTAAACTTGGATGCGCGGATGATGTAATGGGTAATAGCTCGGAATTTTTGATCGAAGAGCCGAGTTACAATTTCCGTTGGGTTTGTTATATTCACTTATACGCAAATCCCCTTGAGAAAGGTATGAATACACCTCCTTTCCCCCTGCTATGGGTTAATTAGTAGATCTTGTATCACTAAACCATTATTATCATCTACCCTTAAAATTATTACAATCTAAAAATATTTTCTGGCTTTAAATAACATGAAAAGAGTTTCGAAGCCGTAAAAAACGAATTAATCAATCAATCAATCAGATATGGATGTAAAGATAAAAGATTATGTTCAATACATATGTAGCAGATAAATAAGAAGTACTGCATCTATTTGTAAGAAAGATCACAAAAACTCTCGGAAAAATACTTTGATGGACAGAAACACAAAGGTTTGTGGGCTTTTTTGGCATTTTTGCCGTAATTTTGCTAGACGCATTAAAATACTTGAAAAAAGAAAATGTTTCAAATGCTGTGTAGATAATTCTTATTTTAGAAACGATTTTTGGTGCACTTGCAAAATTTTCCTGTTGCCAATATTTACTCTGATAAAAAAATTCCTGCTCGGATGTTTCACAACGCCTTGGAAAACCATTTTAGAAATCCGAATCCGACCATTTTTAACCGGGGAGGTAATCTTCTCCTCTGTGGAGGTAGTGCCAAATTATCACGTTCACCGAGAGAAAAAAGTACAGTCAGTTTTCAGATAATCACTTTCTGTTATATTTGGTTTATAAGAAACGTTTCTTTAACCCTAAGTGTGATGAATAAATTTATTTCATATTAACAAAAAACACATAGCAAGCAGCAGCCAACATGTCACATTCTCTTAAAAAATAAAAAATATATTTACAAGACAAATCAGTTATTGTTTAGAATTTGAATTTTTTAAAAATGTGGTCGAAAGGTTTTTTGTTCTTTTCATTGATTCTTTTCTGAGTCCCAAATCCATTATATACTTAGCTCCAAATAGATTGTAGGCTGACAGCTTAATAGATTAGCATTTGCATTTTTTCAATTGTGATTTATTGAGAAATAAAACAATATATTTGTCAATCAGAAAAATGTTTTATTAAATGACACAAATCTTCAAATTGCTTCTTATGATTGAGACATTTTATCCGACTTCAGCAATGACAATACTTTGGTTCTCTGAATTCAAATTTTCTGTCCTCGCGTTTTTAGAAACACCTGAAACAAGAAAATAATAAATCAAATAGGGATCCGGAAGAATTAGAAATCGATTTTGCAGAATTAAAACTATTTCATCTTATTGTCATTTTATTTCGTAAAACTAGTAAAATAAGAAAAAAAAATCATTCGTTTAAAATCTTACAAAAAATTTAAACGAATGTATTTTTAAAAATAAATCCTTTAAAATGAAAGTCTAACCCTTGCTTTGTGCCATTCTTTCAATAAACGAACTTTTTCCGTTGGAAAATTCAATTCTTTTTGTACGCTAATCCAGATTTTAATTAAGAACAAGCGTTAAACTGAAGAAACATACATGAACAATTTCAAACCTTAATTAATTAATTTAATTAATTCTTTAATAATTAATTCTTAAATGATAAAGGTGTCCAAATGGATAGTAAATCATTTCAAAATATTCTTATATTTGATCTGTTTTTCAACAACGTTCATTTTTCTGTCCATTGTGTCTCATGAAATGCGATGATTTTTATGCGAACTGGCATAATGATTATCAACGCTGACGACGGCATTGACGAAGCGTGTTCTAAATCTGGTTGAGGTAGTCTGTATCATTTCATGGCAATGATACCGAGAAAATCATGAATTCACCCTTCCCTGAAATCTATCCGAAAAGACTCGTCGATGTGCTTCCAGAATGATAAAAAAGAAAGGACAAAGTCAGAATAGGTATTCTTCCATGATACGAATATTGTGTAAATTGAAAAGAAGATACGCATCACTAAGCAACCCCACTGCTACTAGAGGTGTCATAAAGAATCCAATATGGCTACCGCATGACAAACTAAACAATCGGTCACTCTTCACCCCGGACAATTATATATTACAAATACAAAGAGATTGAATGAATTTAAAGAGTAATTTACTTTTAGTCAATTATTTGACTCTACTAAACTAATAAATACCAAATGTAAGTATGTATTCTTTTTTTTTTATAGACAAAAGTCTTGATGAAAATCAGACGTCGACTCAAAGCACATCATTTATGACAAAATATAAAGTGAAGCAATCAAATCGAAAGCAATCACACGCACGTGTGTGATCTCGCAAAGTCTCGCATCGACGATTTGCTAATGTATTGGTCAAAGTCAAATAATATTCAATTGTTATTAACTCATTAGCGCATGCAACATATGTTCAGGAAATGTATGCTTCATTAATTTAATGGTAAGGACGCCCTTCCGACAATCAAACGATTCATATTTTGTTCCTATAGCGACATTGACAAATGTACATAATCGTTAAAAGTGGATAGAATTAATACAAATTGTGTCAATGAAATCCGACTTGCATGTTTGCGCGACTCACTCGAAATTATCACAGTAGTTAGATGCTTTACAATTCATATGTACATATATATTAAACAGATATATATATATATATATATATATATATATATATATATATATATATATGCACATACATACATATATATATATATATATATATATATATATATATATGAATTTTATTCATAATCTTCCTACCCATCGAATTTCATTCATAACTCACACCTCATTCATCATAAACATTTGAAATGTATTCCTCTACCTTGAGTTGCTCTCTTGCCTCGTATTGAGTGAGCATTAATGTAAAAATCAAAAATCATAAAATTGTACCGCCAAGAAAACGGTTGAAGATTTTCACAGCCATCATGTCCATCCAATGTAATAGAAGAGAGTTGAGAAATCAGTTTTCATCTAATTCTTTGAACAAAACTTCTATTTGGAATGTTTTCTGAAATGTAATAGTCTGGTTGCTTTCATGTCTTCAGCCAATGTTCTTAATATTTTGACATTTTTTCTCGATGTTTATATTTGCAACATCAATTTCTTCAAATATATCCTTGTTGATCAAGGAAGGAAAATGTGTTGTCTCTTTTATCCCAATATTCCATTATGCTTATATAATTTTTCTACTTATTTAGTGCAGCTTAAAAGAAAAAATATATATAAATATATATATTTATATGTTTATATATATATATATATATATATATATATATATATATATATATATATATATATATATATATATATATATATATATATATATATATATATATATACATATATATATACATATATATATACATATATATATATATATATATATAATAGATATATATATGTATATATATATATATATATATACATATATTCATATATACATACACACACACACACACACACACACACACACATATATATATATATATATATATATATATATATATATATATATATATATATCAGGTCATCCCATAAGTTCTGTCCGAATTTTGAATAAAGAAAACAAGTGACCAAATGTTACATTTAATTACAGATTCAATCAACAATGTATTTTCCCTGATTATCTATGACTTCCTTCCATCTATTAACAAGCTTACTAATTCCATTACTGTAAAATTCTTTTGGCTTTGATTCGAAGAACTCACAAATGTCAGTTTTAACCCCTTCCCGTGTTACAAAAGCTGTTTCTTCCAAATGATTCTGTAAGCTTCGAAACAAATGGTAGTCTGAGGAAGCAAGATCGGGAGAATAAGATGAATGAGGAATTTTCTCCCAACCAAGTTCTTCGATCTTTTGTGACGTGATTCTTTCTGCGTGGGGTCGCGCATTGTCCAGATGAAACATCACTTCTTTTCGATTCACTAGAGCAGGGTTTTTTTTTTCCTCAAAGCTTGGTTCAAACGCTTTAATTGCTGACAGTATGTTTGAGCATTAATTGTTGCATTAGGTGGTAAGAATTCAAAGTGGATTATTCCTTGGCGATCCCACCAGATTGAAAGAAGAAACTTTTACCCATGAAGTTCCATTCTCGGCTGTGGCTGGGGTCCTTCCCTTTACTTAAGCCACTGTCTACGACGCTTAACATTTCGATAAAGATCCATTTTTCGTCGCCAGTCACAAGTCTATCAAAAAAGGTGAAACAAGTTGGCGAGAATGGGAGAAAAGCAGATGTCAACTCAGGATTTGAGGTTGTTTTCAGACAATTCATGAGGTACCCATTTTCCAAGTTTAAGAACTTTTCCAAGTTTTTGAAGATGACGATGAACAGTTGTATGGTTTGAACTAAGAACCACTGCCAATTCCTCAACTGATAAAGCAGGATTTTCTTCAAGGGCTGCTTCAAGAAGCTTTTCATCAAACTCAACTGGACGTCCGGTTCGATCTTCATCTTCAAGGGTGAAATCTCCACCTCTGAATTTTGCAAACCATCTTCTGCAAGTTCTTTCATTCACACGTTCCTCTCCATAAACTGAGTGAATGTTTCTAGCCGCTTCGGCTGCTGAGTTTCCTTTCTTGAACTCATAAAGCATTAATGATTCTTGGGTACTTCCATGTTAGCAGGCTTTTAATGAAACAAAATTTAATTTTATTGTTCTCTGAAATAAAATTTGATCAGTTTAAATGCATCTAAACATAAAAATAATGTTCAGTTCCATTAGACATTATAAAATACTCTTTAAATTTCGTTCATTTTAACAAAAAGTTAAAATTCGGACAGAACTTATGGGATGACCTGATATATAGTTGTAAGGTATATAAATGAAACGACCTGATATAAGCAAGCGTGTACACGTGTGCTAGTGTGCATACGCGGGCAAGGAAATAAATAATCGTCAAATATATATATATATATTGCCCAAAGGAAGATGACGGGCTGAGAGACGAATATACAAATCAAATAAATTATTTACACATACATGCACACATACGTGTACATACACATATACACAGAATTCTTTATGCATGTAA